AGCACTTTAACATATGTTGTTATCGTTCATAGTTACTGAAATAAAGTTAAGCACTTTAACATATATTGTTATCATTCATAGTTACTGAAATAAAGTAAAGCACTTTAACGTATATTGTTATTATTCATAGTTACTAAAATAAAGTAAAGCACTTTAACGTATATAAAACTAATCTTTTTTAAACTTATAGCCTTCTTTGATGTACGTTTAATTTTTATTATACTTATGGTAACCTGGACACTTTAGTTTTGTTCTTACTATAAAAGGAAGCTATGAAAAATAAGTATTATTCGCATCCTTTCTAGTCTTGTTATCCACTATAACTTGTCTTTATACGGAGTATTTTAAGATGTGAAGTCAAGAGAACAAATAAAAATAAGTTAAAATGAAATTAGAAAGTACAAAAATGAGGTGAGTTTTTTTAAATGCAGATTAAATAAAAGTTTTGTAATAGTGAATACAAATTTATATTAATATTTCTAGATAAATAGCGTATCATTATTGATATAAGGATAATGTTTCAGATAGCGTTCAAAGCTACTGGTGTAAAAAATAGTTCTCAAGAAACTGCAATTACAAGTAATGCGAGATTTATGAAACTAAAAATATTTACATTTAACGATGTACACTTCAGTGTTTTCTCAAATGACTGGACAAACTCAGGTTTTGTTCTTATTATATTTCAAGACATACGAAGAGTACTGATAACTACAAGTTTACGGACACTTCTCTAATTCTGATTTGGCGTGCGTTTTTTTTAAAAAAATGGCCTTATTACTATCAGTCACTTCTGACCAAAGCAAGCTATTTACAAGATTATAAATGAAAATTAACTCAAGAGTTAATTTGATATACAGTTTTAAGTACAAGTATGCAATGTTACAAAACAAAAGCTTATACTGATTATAATGCAATGATCCATCAATTGAATCCTTGCTGTTAGCGATATTTTCGGCCATAAACCCAAGAATATCGAACGAGGTTCTGTCAGTTTACGATGTTACCTCTAGTACTTAGGAAATATCGCAACTATCATCTCTGATTTAGCATGAAAGAGAACACAAAGAGCGTTTTATACTTGAATAGGTAATAAAGAAAATGAAACCCAACTACAAAGCATTCAATATTCAACTTAATTAACTTTCCTCTACTTTTTAATATCATCTCATAAACGTTCCCAACTCATATTGTTTTCAAATCAACTAAGAAAATAAAACGCACAACACGTTGAAATTGTATCAAGAGTGTCGCAACAATAAGTATAGTTGCGTAATATGATATACATACGGACGTTTTGATAAACTAATTTTCAAATATGCTAGATATATAATACGCCTATCACACACAAAAAAAGATAAGATAGTAGTTTTTAACCGCAGGTCTTTGTTTGAAATAAGACAATAGAAGCACTGGCGAGAAACTAAGGGGCTCTAATACTTGAAGCATATTCCATTGCTGTTACACACGATGTAGTTGAGAAATAACTTTTTCTACCCAAATACAAAAGTGGATAAAATTGCTATCAATCACATTACAATATTTTGCGTTTTTTTATTCATTCAATTACCAGAGACTTTCTATCAAATAAATGTCAAATATTTCAGACCTAACTTCAACTGTGTTAAGCCTGAAGACCAATCAATATGTGCAAGCCATATGCCTAGCCGAAGTAAAAAAACAAAAAAAAAACTTTATAATTCTGAACACAAGAACTGAAATCAACTCAACTGTATTTTTCAGCTACAATTGTTTCGGCAGTAATGTATTTCATAATTGTTGATTATAATGTAACATATGTTAGCTAATCCACTGCACAAGAAAACTTATACAATGACAACATGAGGACTGTAACTTCGAGCAGTAAATAACCCACACTATTTATCAAACACACTGTTCGAAACTGCAGGCAACAGTCCATTAAAGCAGTGATTCCCAACCGTTTTGGCTTGAAGCCCCTCTTATGCACATTGTATACAATCCGCTGCCCCTCCCTTGCCAGTGTAGAAGTGAACGCACCTGTTACATGGAGATTATCGTTTTAGTTAGAAACCTGGGTTTGAAATCGTTTAACGTAACAGGAAGCAAATCTGGCTGACCCCCTGTGATGTTTCACAAACTCGCAGGGGAGTGACTCCAAGTTGTAAAATGGCGTATTAAAGTACATTTTATATTTTCTAATGCAAGCTATATTTCATACTGTAAATACAACATTAATTAGTTCGAAAGGCAATGAAGGAGAGCAAAAATCCGATGTTTAGAGCCAGATAAACAAATAACAATAAAATAATGTGTAGATAATGAAAGTTAAAGGAAATGATAAAATCTAGAATTGATAATGATAAACTAAAATTAAAACTATGTTCTAAGTTAAGAGTAAAAAACACAAAACCGACATTTTTGTCAAATGAAAGGTAAAATCTTTATTACTAGTTACGGCTGACTAGTGTTGGTAACGCAGTCCATCATTAGGGCTAGTATCTATGTTACCAAAACTAGTCAGCTGTAAGTAATAATAAAGATTTTACCTTTCACTGTGCCAAAAAATGTTGGTTTTTGTGGGTTTTTTTTTTACTTTTAATATAGTAGCATAATATGCCTGTAAAGAAATTATGCTCTAAGTATTGATGCACGTTTATTATATAATTATTTTTTCTATATTTTATAGCATTTCTTTAGCATTGTCTTTACAGCGCCAACTGGACTGAAACTCGAGTAATAAAGACAGTGTTTTCTCTGGATCGAAAAGTGACTGAACAATAGGATAGACATATTAACATATGAATCTTTCAAGGATTTTAATCGATTATCTAATTAGGCTAAGTTGTCCGTAACTGTTATGTTATGAGGTAAGTTATATTTTTCTTTTCTTCTACAGATTTGAACATTATCAAACGTAATATCTTGATACATTTCCAATTAACTTCCCATTTGTTTATTTAGTAACAAATAAAGCCTTCGTGTGTAATATCATAATGACTAAAATATCCATGAATTTCATCTTTCCACAACGAGTTTATAATATATGTTTAGTTAGGTATATTCACGCGAATTTTGAAAATTTCGCACACATGTTCTGCATGTAGTTATGAAATTCTTCCAAATATATAAATATCGTAAACTTGTACTAATCATTTTATTTAGGTAAAGGCTAGAAGGCAACGGCTAGAAACTGATATCATTTTGGCCCTTATTTGTCACCCACTGCGGATGGACGAGCCCATTTAAAGGGGTGGCACAGAATCTTGTACAAAATGATATGAGTTAAGGTTTTTAATTTAACGTACAATATAATATACTGTAATTCATTGCACTTTAATGCTTTGTTGGAATTAGAGCTCCCTTTGTTATTGTCCTGTGTACGTTATATAAAAATTTCTCTGGTACCCAGTAAAGTTAACAGAAAGTTGTAAGCCGACTTGTAAGTTAATAGTATTTACACGATTATTGTTAATAAATATTTTGTTTCACTTATTCATCTGTGTTTGTTTGTTTCTTTTGCTGTCCGAGTTAGTTTATTTTTTGTATAATATCTTCGAACCTGCGTTTCGCAGATACCTTTATACTTATCAGCTGGATATCAATGGACGTAAATACCACAATATTATATAGATTTAAGCAAAATCATTTGGTTATAACACAAATATTGAGAGATGGTGCTTTCTTAAGTATATGACTATATACATATATTATAATATCTCATTTAGGAACCTGAAGAAGCTGCCACAGTTGGGACAACGCGCTATAATTTTGTAAAATTTGATTTTCAATTATTCAGAAAAAAATTACATTTTGCCTTACTCCGTGCGACATAATAGTGAGCATGCGCAGCTTACTATCACATGACGCATTTAGTCTTACTATATTCACCTATATCAACGTCAGTTGTCGTATTCGATGGCCTTTAACGTTAAATGTACCGATAGTATCCATAGCCCTATTGACTTTAGAAACATATTTTGTCAAACTATTTATGCACCAAACGTTTTATGGGTCTACTCGTTGTTTACACAGTCTCTAATACTATATAAACCATAAAAACATTTGTTTATAAGAACAATAATTACTAATTATAGTTAGAATATAGAAAATGGGTGATTTTATCTAATTGTTGAACAATTTTTATACACTAAAACAGCCAAAACATAAAATTACTCAATGTGGTACATTGTATGGACCCGACCGATAGTGAACGGTATAAGTAATTCTTAGATCAAAAATTGAATTAACAGTCACTCTGTGCTACTATTCAAATCTTTAAATTGTTCTTAGAAGTCAATTAATTTGAAAACTCTTACAAAAAAAAAAGAAATAATGATTCAAATTTTCAAATTAATGCTTTATTATAAAATATGCGTAAGTTGTGTGTTGCCAATTATTGCCCTCATCGCAATAAAGCTAAAAAGTGTCCTTTTTTGACTTTGTAATGACTCGGTACAACGCTCAAAATTCCAAGTCCGTGCAGGATTACTTAAAACACATGCCAACCAAACAAAACTGTGGGAATTTATCGTTTCTAAAAAATAGTTTATAAAATTCATTTTCTATGATTCTCCAACACTTGTAAAAATAAAACAATGAGCATTCATCACTGTCCCAGACAGATTTAATCTCAATCCACTACTTAAAATATTTTATACTTTTTTAACAACTTTTAATTACATATACATATTTATATGGGAGTATCAAAGTATCTTCGAGACACGAAATATGTCACTTAGCGTTTTGGTAACATAATCAGCTTAATAAGACTAATGAAATCTTCTGTATATTAAAAGTCTGTAGTATTTGAGGTTTGTAATTTGTTTTATTGCAGTGTGTGAAGACTGATTATAAGAAATTAAAACATTTACGTTTAGTGTATACTTTTATGAAAAAATATCAGTTGCTTTGGTATTACAATTTGCTGTTTTGTGTGGGCTGTATTAGCGCGCCCTCCAGCGGTGGTTACTCTTAATAAAGCGCAGTTAACATACCCACGTGGTTCTCTGCGTGTTTTCCAATAACGCATCACAGCGGTATGTTATACTGTGTTCGTCTCTCTGCCGCGAAGGTTGTTGTTTATGCTAATAGTGTCAGCTGCATCTTGTGGTGTCAGTTTCTCAGGTCATTCCCTGATTTCTTCAAGTGGCTTGTTGGTACCATAACCTGTTGAAATAACTCCTTGGAAGGAACCCGTCACGACGATGAAGTCCAAGAAAGGTAAGCGTTCTGTGGAGTGTAGTCAATTGCTTGTTGTGGCTCTCGCGCGTTGCCTGTAGTCATACGGTACACAATCATTAGTTTGACTGTTGAGTGAAACTTTCGTTCATTTATTGACTTGTTTATTGAGGTAAGGAAATATATTACACGTAATTTCATAGTAATGTTCAGAAAGTTTTAATTCATTATTGGTAATTAATATGATAAATACATTATAAAAAATAAACAGTGCTGTATGCTATAAACTTCTACATTCAACACATTACTTTGAGGTTTGGTATTTTGGCTATAATTATCCCAAACTGTACTGCAGTTAAAAAATATTCATGTAAATGAAGTTAATTTCTATGATAAATACAACATATTTACAATAAGCAACGACGTTAACTGCCTAGTTTCACCGTAACAAATTTAACATATTTTTTTAGTGCTATTTAGACTGCTTAATGTGGTAGTGTATTTTTTGATATAATTTGTAGAAAATTTCTTTACTTTTTAAGAAACACTTTCATCAAACACTTATACAATTTAAGCTTTTCAGTTCTTTTAACATGAGGTTTTTAAGTGGTGAGAGGACGTGAAAAAAAGTGGATTTTAACGAGCTGACTATAGGTTGTTTAACAGACCCGGTTAGTCATTAAACATTCTAAGAAATTACTAATATAAATTATTTTCATCTTGATACGCAGAATTACACCTTTGGATGCTGTATATGTTATATTTATCTATTCTAGTTAATGAGTGACAAGCATTGATACTTTGGCTATACATAGAATATGTATATCGTTTTTTATAGTCTATCTTTACATGTTTACAAGTTTTTATAATGGCACTTTTAACTAAAGATATTGCTTTCAAAAAGGACTCGTTTGCTTGTTGAATGTACACTAAGCACGTGATATAAGAAGTGTTACACAAGCTGTCATCGATCACTGCTTGAATATAAACAACTAAGAGATGACTTTCATATTTAAGAGATGCCGAAAGTGTCGATGCAAACCAAGAAACTCCTGTAGGTATCAATAAGTAAGCCATTTTCACCCTCATGGTGAATGTTCAGTTTTCCCAAAAAGTCGTTTGTACATAATTCAAGCCTTAAAAATACTAATTTATATCTTGTGACAAGGAAAGTAGTCATCCAAATAACAAAAAAATCGTTGCTGATATCCATCCACATGGCGTTCAACTTCAGTAGATTTTCGAACATAAATAAAACGTTGTCTTCTGTCTTACTGAAGTAAGTCCCAGAGCGTTGTCTTTATTTTGATATATCGAATTTAAATTCCCCATAATCTAGCTGTTAAGAAACTATTTTCTTCCCAGATTTTTGCAGTCAGTTATGCAACATATAAAAGTAGTTATTTCGAGGGTACATAACATGCTTCACTTCCTTTCTAGTTTCATCGATCAGAATTTTTCTCTGTATTTCTCGACATCTTGTTTCACGAATACCTCTGTTGTTATTCTTTATCGTATAGAATGTATTTTATTCTTATCAGGGAACGCATATTGTCTTTAATCAGAATTGTAATCGTTACTGTGTACAAGCTGAATTTTTCTTCTTTATCCTCAACAATGAAGCGACTAATGTGTGTACATACCAAAGGGAATGATATAAGAGATGTTATTAAATATCTATCGTGATGGGTTTTACTTCAATACTTGTGTTAGGTATGAAGTTTGTATACAAGTGTTCATTTAGAAATACACTGGGCCGTTAATCGTTAAAACATTAGAAAGAAAGGAAGAGAGAAAAACACAAAGTTAAACAGAATAGCCTTGAAAAATATACAGATTTGATTTTCTTTGTTTTTGAATTTCGCGCAAAGCTACTCGAGAGCTATCTGCGCTAATCGTCCTTAATTTTGGAGTTATAGTCTAGACTCTAGAGAGAAAGCGGCCAGTCAACATTATCCAAACGGGGCATATAAAGAGGAATACTTATTTGATGCAGGTATAGTAGTATAAATGTCGAAGACAAGTCAATTCACCTATTCAAATGCATAATATCTTTCACATTAATAAGTCGAATGATCTTCCATTTCTGCAGCATAATACCTAAAGTGAGTGAGTATGCATCCCTGGGTAAGTAATGAGAGACTGCAGGTCAATACATCCTTTGTGCGCAAGGAGCTCTATGTCACTTATCGCCTATTTGAATCCAGTGGAAAATATTAATTGTTTTATAACTGTTATTGATATTTGGATATGAATATAACATCTGACTCCCGAATAATGTCGGGGTAGTATTATGATCTAGTTTAGCTAGTTTAGATTTGATTGACTGGTTCTAGATAAGAAATGATCAGTACATTGCTGTGTTGTGATATTATGAACAGTACTGAACTGTCTACTTTGATTGAATTCCTTGATGAAAAATACCATTTAAAGCGTGATAATGCATCATTTTTATCAGTAGATTCTAATTTGATGTTTGTATGCGTTAAAAGGTTTGTGAGATAGAGGAAAAATACTTTACTAACGTTAGTCTAAGAAAGGTGTCTGGTTTCTACCATTAGTACTCACTATCACACGTTCTCTTAGAAAATACTAAGTGTTAAACACATCGTTAATTTATGTTCTACAGATCACTGTGAAAACCAGTAGTTTTAATAATGTGGATTTATGTTCTACAGATCATTGTGAAAAACAGTAGTTTTAATAATGTGGATTTTAGAATAAACTTTTTTAAGTGATAAAAGTTTTACTAGAATTAGTTGAATCATTTAGAATGGATACGTTGATGTAGATGAAACTTGACCAAATTTCGAACCCAAACAATGATTTTACCATTAAATGTCATCTCTTTTAGAAGGCTATGACATCAATCTTTTTTGGAACTTGTAGTACCAAGATATTGTCAGATCAGAACGTAGACACATTGAAAAGAAAAAACACTCGCTCTATAAAAGCGTGGTTTCTTTCTTCATGTATTACGAGAGCACAAGGAAAAAGAAAGCTTGAAAATTTCAAGTGTGCTGATTCATTAATGGTCCAGTCCACATTTCTTACAAACTTTCTTTCCGACTTTAGGGTATTTTTGTGAACTTTTCCTTTGGAAAACGTAATAAAAGATAAAAAAAAAGCCTTTGGATAAAGCACTTGTTCACATATGGCAATTTGTTTTGTTTTTTTCAGGATACATCTGTAACACAAATGTAACACTTTAATGTATTGGTTTGTTTGGGGACTTTTAGTTTTACTACTTTACAGTGTTATAAAAGTCAATCAAATGAGTATCCGCATTTTCTTTCGTATTTCTATATTGCTTGTTTTCATTTATATACTGTTGTGTCGTCTTAGTTATTGGAACCTTTATTTAAGCCTTAATGGGTGAATATGGCGTTTGTTAACAATATCCATTGTGATAAATAGGACGATTTTCAACAATATCCATTGTGATAAACATGAGGATTGTTAACAATATCCATTGGGATGAATATGGCGATTATTAACAACACACATTGTGATGAATAAGACGATTGTTAACAATATCCATTTTGAAGAATATGGCGATTGTTAACAATATCCATTTTGAAGAATATGGCGATTGTTAACAATAATTATTGGGATGAATATGACGATTTTTAACAATATCCACAGTTTTTAGTTCGTTGATAATAACTAGTACATTTCTTTCATTGAAGTTAATATTACCTTCGCATTCATTTCTGTTACATTCGTTTTATGCATTCATTTTTTCTTCATTTTTAACTTAATTATCTATGTCATTGATCATGGTAATGGTAATTTTGTGATTGTTAATGGTATTGGTAACCTTACCTGCTTTTGCTTGGTAGATTTGGTGTGTTTTTTTGTGTGCTTTCAGTAAGAGTGGTTCTTTGTTTTCAGTCATGAATTTGACATCTTTGCATCAGTTAATGATAAAACATTATTTTTAAAGATATGGGTTTACTTATCTTTAGAATTCTGACATATTTGCTTATACTGAATATATTAATTTGTATTCGTCTGTTTTACCAATGACTGGTTTCCATAGAGATAACATAATAAGGACATTTTTTTTTCAATAATGTATTATATCATTGTCATCTCCGTTGATTATGCTAATAAATTTGTCTTCTTTTACGGTAATCGTACGTTTTTCCCCGCTGACGATATTGACACTTTGATATTCGTTTATGATAAATATATTTAAGTTTTCGTTGATCATACTGATACTGTTATCTTCCTTGACGGTACTGGTAGCTTTTCTTCGTTGATCAGACACTATATTTGACTTTTTTGGCCATACTGATACTATAATCTTCCTTGACGGTACTGGTAGCTTTTCTTAGTTGATCAGACACTATATTTGACTTTTTTGGCCATACTAATACTATTATCTTCCTTGACGGTACTGATAGCTTTTTTTCGTTGACCATACACTATATTTGGCTTCGTTGATCATACTGATACTATAATCTTCCTTGCTTTTCTTCGTTAATCAGACTCTACATTTGGCTTTTTTGATGATGCTGGTACTTTAACCTTCGTTGATGGTATTGCTAGCCTTTTCTTTCGTAGTGATATTGATATCTTCGACTTTATGATACTGGGACATTTGTCTTTGCTTAAAACAGTGTGATTTTTTGTTTGGTTTAGTTCATGATGAAATTGGTACATTTAAAACTCGGTTGAAGATACCATTAATTCTTTGTTTGCTGATGGTCGTCACTAATGATTCTGGTATTTTTGTCTTCTCTCAAGGCTCTGACACTTTTTTTTTTGCTTATGAAGATTGTGTCTTATATAACTACAGGTACTCTTTGACGATAAGAGTACTTTGATCTTCGTTTATGTTACTGGTGCATTTTCTTCGTCATTAAAACTTTCGTTTGTGTGTGTGTAGGTAGAGAACATTTGTATTGTTTTTCTTTTTATATGCTGGTATCTTGTCGTGAATAAGGATACTAACACCTTCATCTTCTTTGACGATATTGTAATTTTACTTACGTTATGATACTCGTTGAAACAGATTTCACCCAAGAAAGATAGTT